ATGCAGAAAAAGTATTTGATAAAGTCCAACACACCTTTATGATAAAACCTCTTAGCAAAATAGGCATAGACGGTTCATACCTTAAACTTATCATATCCATTTATGACAAACCCACTGCTAATATCATCCTAAATGGGGAAAAGTTGAAATCATTCCTGCTTCAATCCGGAACCAGACAAGGATGCCCAGTATCTCCTCTCCTATTCAACATAGTACTCGAAGTCCTAGCTATAGCAATCAGACAAGAGAGGGGTATTAAGGGTATCCAAGTGGGGGGAGATGAGATTAAACTCTCGCTCTTCGCTGATGATATGATATTATACCTAGAAAACCCCATGGAGTCATCCAAGAGACTCCTTGACTTAATACATTTGGTAAAGTCTCAGGATATAAAATCATTATACAAAAATGAGAAGCATTCATATATGCCAAGAACCATCAAACAGAAACTCAAATAAAAAATGCAATACCCTTTACTATAGGCACAAGGAAAATTAAATATTTAGGAGTATATTTAACGAAAGATACGAAAGATATATACAAGAAGAACTACGAAACACTAAAAAGAGAAATTCCAGATGATTTGAACAGATGGAAAAAATCTACCTTGTTCATGGATTGGTTGAATGAATAACGTTAAAACGTCAATTTTACCTAAAGTTATCTACAGAATTAATGCAATCCTCATCAAAATATCACCAGCATTCTCTACAGATCTAGAAAGAATAATTCTGCAATTTCTTTGGAACCAGAAAAAACCCCGTATAGCCAAAGCAATCTTAAGTAAGAAAAACAAATTGGGTGGCATCAGTCTTCCTGACTTAAAACTTTACTATAAAGCAATAATACTTAAATCAGCCTGGTACTGGCACAAGAACAGAAGCATCGATATCTGAAATAGATCTGGGATACCAGAGATGAAACCATCAGTATACGGCAACGTAATCCTTGATAAAGCAGACAAAAACATACAATGGGGAAAAGAATCCCTCTTCAATAAATCGTGCTGGGAAAACTGGTTAGCTACATGAGGAAGACTGAAACAAGATCCATATCTCTCACCTCTTACAAAAATTCACTCAAGATGGATAACAGACTTAAACCTAAGGCATGAAACCTTAAGAATCCTAGAAGAAGACATTGGGAAAACCCTATTAGACATTGGTCTAAGCAAAGAATTTTTGAGGAAGAGCCCCAAAGCAATCACTGCTGCATCAAAAATAAACAAATGGGATCTCATCAAATAAAAAAGTTTCTGCACAGCTAAGGAAACCATCATTAGAGCAAATAGACAACACACAGAGTGGGAGAAAATATTTGCTCTCTACACTTCTGATAAAGGCCTAATAACAAGAAACTATCTAGATCTTACAAGAATAAATAAGAAAAAACCAAACAATCCCATCAAGAAATGGGCAATGGAAATGAACAGAAATTTCTCCAAAGAAGACAGAATAATGGCCTGCAAACATAAAAAAATGCTCAACTTCTCTAATCATCAGAGAAATGCACATCAAAACCACAATGAGATACCACCTAACACCAGTGAGAATGGCCTGTATCAAGAAATCCCAAAACAACAAATGCTGGCGAGGATGTGGAGAGACAAGAACACTCCTACACTGCTGGTGGGACTGCAACTTAGTGCAACCTCTGTGGAAAAGAATATGGAGATACCTCAAACAGCTAGAAATAGAAATACCATTCGACCCAGCAATAGCATTGTTGGGCATCTACCTGAAAGAGCGTAAGACATTCTACTATAAAGACATCTGCACCCGAATGTTTATGGCAGCACAATTCACTATTCCAAGATCATGGAAACAATCCAAGTGTCCATCAATTCACGAGTGGATAACTAAAATTTAGTATATGCTCACAATGGAATACTATTCAATTCTAAGAAATGACAGTGAATTAGCACCATTTATGCTATCCTGCATTAAACTTAAACCCTTTATGACACAAGATCAAGAAAACGGGCTCCACATCTACTCGCCATCAAATTGGTACTGACTGATTAAAACTATGATGTTCAAATGGGGAGAGTGCCCACTAGGGTTTGGGGGAGGGGGAGATACACATCTTAGGGTTGTGGTGAGCATAGTGGGGTGGGGAGGGAATACATCTAAACCTTCCAAGGGAAAGGCTAAGATATACAATGTAACCCAAAGGTCAAAAAAAGGGAAAAAACAAACTTTTATGGGTTGATGGGCAAATGGGAGGGGGAGGAGGGGAAGAATTTACACTTACAAAATATGTGTGATGTGCACCACCTGAGAGTAGGACATGCTTGATGTTTTGGTAAGGCCGGGGCAGCGGGGAGGGCTTGGGGAGGAATAGTAGGGGCAATATATGTAACCCTAACAATATTTGTACCCCCATAATATGAAAAAAAATTAAAAAAAAAAGAAGGGGATAGGAAGTGGTTGAGAAAAAACGAGATAAGATCCAAAGAGAAAAGATATATAAAAAGAGAAATACTGATACACATGGAAAAACAAATAAATTCATGTTTGACTTTCATTAAAGGAAGAGAATAAAAAAATAAAATAAAATAAACAGTTATACCCCCATAACATCCAGAAATTAAAAAGAAAAAGAAAACATGGTACGTGTGTGGGTGGGTGTCTGTGGTGTGTGTGTGTGTGTGTGTGTGTATATGTTTGGGTCTATGTAAAATAAAACATTATTCAGCCTTAAAAAAGAAGAAAATCCTGTCACATTCATTCATTCATTTGCATGAACATGAATGAAACTGGAGGACAATATGCTAAATGACATTGTAACTTTTTTTTATTTTTTTTTTGAGACAGAATCTCACTTTGTTGCCCAGGCTACAGTGAGTGCCACGGCATCAGCCTAGCTCACAGCAACCTCAATCTCCTGGGCTCAAGCAATCCTGCTGCCTCAGCCTCCCAAGTAGCTGGGACTGCAGGCATGCGCCACCATGCCCGGCTAATTTTTTCTATATATATGTTAGTTGGCCAATTAATTTCTTTCTATTTATAGTAGAGATGGGGTCTCGCTCTTGCTCAGGCTGGTTTTGAACTCCTGACCTCAAGCAATCCGCCCACCTCGGCCTCTCAGAGTCTAGGATTACAGGCGTGAGCCACCGCACCTGACTGACATTGTAACTTTTTTAAAACTATGGTATAATACACATAACATAAAATTTACCACATTAACCATTTTAAGTGTACAGTTCAGTAGTACTAGGTACATTCACATTATTTTACTACCAATCTCCTGAACTCTTTTTATCATGTAAAACTCAAATTCTATATGCATCAAACAATGATCCCCTATTTCTACCTTCCCCATCTCCCTGGCAACGTTGATTCTACTTTCTGTCTCTCTGAATTTGATTACTATAAATGCCTTATGTTAAGGGGAATCAACAGTAGTGTATTTGGCTTGCTGGAACTGGCTTGTTTTACTTAGCATAATGTCCTCAAGGTTCATCTATGTCATCTATGTTATAGCATGTATCAGAATTTCCTTTCTTATTGACACTAAGTAATATTCCATTGTGTGTATATGCCACATTTTGTTTATCCATTCATCCATTGTTGGACATTTGAGTTGCTTCCATCTTTTCGCTATTGTGAATAATGTTTTAACATAGGTTTATAAAATATCTCTTCAAAACTCCACTTTCAGTTTTTTGGGGCATATACCCAGAAATGGAATTGCTGGATCACATGGCAATTATATTTTTAATTTCTTGAGTATCCCACATAATGTTTTTTCATAGCAGACATTTTACATTCTATGTTTTTATCATTTTTTTTTATTTCGGCATATTATGGGGGTACAGATTTTAAGGTTTCAATAAATGCCAATTTCCACCCTCCTCCCACAAGTCTGAGTCTCCAGCATGACCATCCCCCAGATGGTGCACATCTCACTCATTATATATGTATATACCCGCCCCCCTCCCCCTCCCACCTGCCCAATACCCTATTACTGTACTACCTATGTGACCACTTAGGTGCTCTTCAGCTAATACCAATTTGCTGGTGAGTATATGTGGTGCTTGTTTTTCCATTCTTGGGATACTTCACTTAATAGTATGGGTTCCAGCTATAACCAGGAAAATATAAGATGTCCTATGTCACTATTGTTTCTTAGAGCTGAATAGTACTCCATGGTATACATATACCACATTTTATTAATCCATTCTTGGATTGATGGGCACTTGGGCTGTTTCCACAGCCTTGCGATTATGAATTGTGCTGCTATAAACATTCGAGTGCAGGTGTCTTTTTCATAAAATGACTTTTGATCTTTTGGGTAGATGCCCAGAAGTGGAATTGCTGGATCAAATGGTAGATTCACTTGTATTGCTTTAAGATATCTCCATATTGCTTTCCACAGAGGTTGAACTAGTTTGCAGTCCCACCAGCAGTAGGAGTTTTTCTCTCTGCATCCACGCCAGCATTTATTGTTTGGAGACTTTTTGATAAAGGCCATTCTCACTGGAGTTAAGTGATATCTCATTGTGGTTTTGATTTGCATTTCCCTGATGATTAGAGATGTTGAGCACTTTTTCATATGTTTGTTGGCCATTCTTCTGTCTTCTTTAGAAAAGTTTCTGTTCAAGTCGTTTGCCCATCTTTTAATAGGGTTATTTGATTTTTTGTTGCTGATTTTTGTGAGTTCTAAGTATATTCTAGTTATCAGTCCCTTATCGGGTGCATAGGATGCAAAAATTTTCTCCCATTCTGCAAGTTGTCTGTTTACTTTCATGACTATTTCTTGTTTTTGTCATTTTTAATTTTATAAATTATACATATGTCTAATCATAAAAATTAATATAAAAACTCTAAATATTGTCACAGAAGTCTTATTTTCTTTATGTTTGCAGAATTTCTGCAGAAAATACATACTATTTTTGTAATTAAATATGTATTGATTAAAAACATATTATTATCTGCTAATTTTTCAAAAATAATAAAGTATAAAAACAGGAAAAAATAGTTATTTTGAAAGCTTACCTGTCCAACATATTGGACTGGTTTTCAAATATTTTCAACATGGTATTCAATCGATGAGTCAGTGAATGAGCAGTTTCTATAGTAAAAATTTAAGAAAGCAAAATTTTAAAGGTATTACAAATGTCTAAAGTTATAGCTCTACACCTATATAACCAACTGCTATAGATATGAAAACTAAACAAGCATAAAGATGAACTAGTAGGCCACATGAGTATTAAAGAATAAAATAGTTATGATGAAAATAGCTACCATTTTATTAAACACCTATTATGTGCAAGTTACCATGTTATTTTGTATTCTCTTAGTCTTAAAGCAAAAAAGAAGATACTGTCACTATTTTCAAATAAATAAATTCAGGCTCAGAGAGGTTATATAACTTGATCAAAACTATTCACCTAATAAATGACAAAACTGGATTGAGGTCCAGCGTATGGGACCTCGTTATGATATGGCATAACAGAGGACTCTAGGATGCTAAGAGAACTTCTTTGGTTGCTGTTACTAAGTCAGTAAAATCTATGGGAGTAATCAAGCTAACCTATTAAGTTTTCCAACAAATTTCAAATTTAACATAAAAAGGAATCTAAGATGCTATTTAAAAGGGTACCAATATAATGAGGATCCATAATAAACAATGAACACTCAGGGTAAGAACACAAGACTCCTCTATCAAGGAGCTGAGAAGAAAAAGGAGGAAGATAAAAATAAGCTAAGCCTTAAAGAATGTATAGAATTTCATTAGAAAGAAAAAGTGAAAAACAAATACCATAAGCAACAGCAAGAAAAGTAGAAATGTGCAAAATATATCAAGGTTACCAAATATATCAAGTATATCAAGGAACCAAGTCAACAAGAGGCGTTGCTTTAGGAAAGTCAATACTTATCAAAGATTCAAGTGGAATATAAGGAGAAGCCAGCTTCAGAAGAATTAAATTTAGAATTTCTTATAGGCAAGACAGAGGAATTGAAAATGCTTACATAATGGAAGCTCCATGACCTTTCCCCCATACCTTGCCCTATACATCTCTTCATCTGTATTCTTTGCAATATTTTTTACAATAAATCAGTAAATATGGCTGACTAGAACCATGCATACACAACCTCATCCACTTAAAAGAACCAAAATAGTGTGTAAACAATAACACTTTGGGGGGAATGGACACACCTGAAGTTCTGACTCGAGGGGGGAAGGGGGTAAAGGGCAATATACGTAGCCTTAACATTTGTACCCCCATAATATGGGAAGGAGAAGCGAGAGAGAGAGGGAGGGAGGGGAAGGGAGGAGAGAGGGAGGAGGAGGGAGGAGAGAGGAGAGAGGAGAGGAAGAGAGGAGGAAGAGAGGAAGAGGGAGAGAGGAAGAGAGAAGAGAGAGGAGAGAGGGAGAGAGAGGAGAGGGAGACGAGGAGAGAAGAGGGAGAGAGGTGAGAGAGGAGAGAGGGAAAGGGAGAGGAGAGAGGAAGAGGGAGAGGGAGAAGGAGGAGAGGGGAGGAGGAGAGGGAGAGAGAGGAGAGAGGGAGAGAGGGAGAGAGACGAGAAGGGAGAGAGAGAGGGAGAGGGAGAGAAAGGAAAAAGGAAAGGAAAAAGGAAAGGAAAAAGGAAAGGAAAAAGGAAAGGAAAAAGGAAAGGAAAAAGGAAAGGAAAAAGGAAAGGAAAAATAAATCACACTTTGAATACATTATCCAAGAAGGAACACAGGAGTTCAACAGGACAGCAACAGGAAACACCAAAAACTAGAAAGGAGAAGGAAAACAGGACTAGGCTAGGCCTAGGACTGGCCAGGAGATAGGAGTGACTCTCCAGGATGGGGAGAAGGTGAGTAATGTCCCTCTTCGGTCCACTTTTCCACTAGGGAATGGTACAATCCAGGCTATGGGACAGCACCTTGACTGTCCCAAACCCTGAACCTAACTTAAGGAGCCTCCAGGAAACTAAGAGAAGTAACTACTCCAGGGAGGAAACTCACCCTGGGTCCCACACTCTCTCTGAAACCTAAGTGGCTATAACAAGATACCATTTTTAATCCAAGCTTCCAACAGACTATGTACTGTTCTGGGATCCAGACGTGCCAGTCCTAAGCATTAGGGAAATTTGGGCTGCTGCTTGTGAAACTGGGATACAAGCAAGGAGTGGGCTCCAACAGTCAGGACTAAGAAGCAAGCATGGCATGGGCTGCAGCCACCAGCACTGGAAAATAGGCACTGCCCCTGAGACTTGAGTTTGAGCCAGATGTGAGCTGTCACAGAGGCTAGGTCTTGAGCTGGGCAGGGTCTCCTACAATCCGGGGCTGAGTTGAAGGCTAGGCGCTGGCTGCTGGGTGTGATAGGCCAGCTGGGTCTGCTGTGAAAGCCAGGAGTGGGGAGCAATCCCTGCCATGACTGAGGTATGAGAATGATGCATGCTGCCTACCCACCAGCCAAGGCTGTGGCCACTAGGACCAGCCCAAATCTCCCCATGGCAGGACCTCAGAACAGCAGCTGTGGTCCCTAACTATACCATTCCATCCAGGGCCTGAAGACTACCCATCCTCACCCATTGTGCTGGTGTGTCACTTGCCATTGAGGGGCCCGAATGCAAGCCCACCTGGTCCAGCACTCCCTGGTTTTGCACCCCCCCCCAGAAAGAGTGCATGGTCTGGGGTCCTGGGAATTGTATGACACAATGCACTACCTGGACACCTGAGCACTCTCCTGAATAACTGAGGTTGGGCCTAAACACCACACCACTACCATCTCATTTGACTCCTACCTGCAAGTGCCACCTGCTGGCCTAGCCCAGTGTAACCATTGTCAAGACAAGCAAACAGCACTTGGGACACAGAAGAGCATCTTACCACAGCTACTGACTTTGCCCATGGCACGCCAGTTGCCCAGGGACTCAAGAGCACCAGGTCCACCGCTACCACAACTAACATCAAAGAAAGCCCACCAGAGGCCCAAGAATTGGCCCACCTGGAACCACAGGTACCAGTGTACATCACCCCAGGGATAGACATACTTAGCCCACTAATGCTATCACTGGGTCGTGAAGATGGGCTTATCTGGCATTCCAGTCACCAGCATAACTCCACTACAGTCTTCACTAATAATCACATCCTAATACATCAAGGAAACCACAGATACCACTAATGCCATTTATAGCCAAAGAAACCATACAGAGACTTCACTATTTCAGGCACCCAGAAGGAAAGCCAAAGGCTCCTACCAAAACAAACCATAAACACATCTTTAAGGAAAAGTCTCCTCACCCCAATCAACAATAGTGAATTCAAAAATAGGAGGAAGTGACTGCTACAACAGATGTGCAGATATCAATGCAAAGACACAAGAACCACGAAAAAGCAAGAAAATAGGACACCCTCAAAGGAACATAAGAACTCTCCAGCAATAGATCTTAACCAAAAAGAAATTCTTGAAATCCCAGATAAAGAATTCAAAATGTTGATTTTAAAGATCAATGAGATGCAAGAGAAATCCAGAAACCCCTATGAAGAACTCAGAAAATAAATTCAAGATATGAATGAGAAACTTACCAAGAAAACAGTATCTTTTTAAAAACCCAGAAATTCTGGAATTGAAGAATTAATTGAAGAAAATAAAAACTACATTCAAAATCTTCAATAACTGACTAAACCAAACAGAAGAAAGAATTTCAGAAATTAAAGACAGGTCATTGAAAATAATCCCATCAGAGAAAAGTAAAGAGAAAAGAATTTAAAAGAATAAACAAAGCCTGCAAGACATTAAAGACAACATAAAGTGATCGAATATCTGAATTATCAGTATTCCTCAGGGTGAAGAGAGACCAAAATGTTTATAAAATCTGCTTAACAAAATAATAGATGAAAATTTCCCAAGTCTAGTGAGAGACTTAGACATCCAGATATAGGAGGTTCAGCAATCCCCAAATGCAGTGCAAAAAGGTCTTCACCATAGCACATTATAACCAGACTGCCTAAAGTCCAAGTAAAACAATAAATTATAAAAATAGCAAAAGAAAAGTACCTAGCCACCAATAAATGAAAACTCATCAATCTAACAGTGAACTTTGCAGTAGAAACCTCATAGGCCAGAAGAGGATGAGATAACATTTTCAAAGTGCTGAAAGAAAAGAACTTCCAAGCTAGAATACTCCATCCAGCAGGATTAAGCTTCATAAATGAAAGAGAAATAAACTCTTTCCCAGATGAGCAAATGCTTAAGGTAATTTGTCACCATTAGACCAACCCTACAAGAAATGCTCAAGGAAGTCCTAAACCGGGAAGTATAAGGACATTTAACATCGTGAAAACACATGATAGTTTAAAACTCACTGGTAAAGCAATCACACAAAGGAGGAAAGAAAGGAATAAAATAATACCACTAATTTCATCAAACTATAATGACAAACAGTAAGAAAAAAAGAAAGAAACAAAGGGTTTAGAAACCAATTAACAATATGACAGAAAAAAACTATTTTCAAATATCAACATAATCTTGAATGTAAATGGATTAATGTTCAAATTAAAAGATACAGATTGGCTGAATGGATTAAAAAAACATGATTCAACTATATTTGGCTTACATTAAATTCACCTTACATGAAAAGACACATATAGACCCAAAGTAAAAAGGTAGAAAAAGATATTCAATGAAAATGGAAACCAAAAGCAAGCAAGAGTAGCTATTCTTAGATAAAACAAAGTCAAAAACAATAAAGAAAAGATAAAGCAGGTCATTATAAAATGATAAAGTGATCAATCCAGCCATAAGATATAACAATTCCAAATTTTAATACATTTTATTAAAATTCCAATACTAGAACACCCAAATTCATAAAGCCAATATTACTAGACATAAAGAAAGAAACAGCAATACATTAATAGTAGGAGACTTCAACACTCCATTCACAGCATCAGACAGAACATCTAGACAGAAAATTAACAATGAAACTTTGGGCTTAAACAGGACTTTAGACCAAATGGACCTAACAGATATTTATAAAATAATCGACCCCCAAACTACAGAATATGTATTTTATTCATCAACATACAGAATATTCTCTAAGATAGACCATATGTTGGGCTACAAAACAAGTCTG